AAATCCATAATCGGGGATAGAGCGGACAACTGTTGCAAAAGCGGGCTGGAGGACACGGGCAGGGGGTGCAGAGGGAAGAACTACAGTCTGATGATCAGCACAATGAGACAAGTACTGGCGATGTAGAGAGGTGATGGTGAATTACGCGTATGGTGAAAACACAACATTATTCCGGCCTTTTCATAAACGCCAACAGAGCAAAACCCAGCGAGTCAAAACATCCTCATCCAAATGGAGGATGAGTTCTCGCCAAAGTAAAGCAACATGATGAGAGGGAGCATAACCTCCAGGTAGGGAAAGTCCAAGAACATGGCATAGACGAACAACAACTGGAAAACGAATAAACAAGCGTTCAAGGGATTCCCCCTCCTTGTCATGAAAAACTGGACAAACATTGTCAATTACCAATCCATGTCGTTGCAAGTCTTCCCGTACCGGAAGAATAGTAATAAAACTCACCAGAGGAAAAACTTCAATTTCGGAAATAAGCGAAGTCCCCAAACCTTTGGCCATAACGAATGGTCCATTGGGGAAGCCAATTGCTCCTTCTGGAAAATAATAGGAGAACGTTGCCCAACTTCCACTCGGTAAGCCGACTTGACGGTGAAGTATCCGGATGAATAAAAGTGCCAAATCCACCTATCAGCACAAGGAGAGCGCTGGAGTGGAATCATCATAATGGCTGCAACAGAAGCATCATCAAAAAATTCATGCAATTGAGCAACTTCCCAAGACATAGTCACCGGAGAAATGAAGTAGGTGATGTAAAGAGATGAACTGGAAACCCCTAGCCGAAATCGAGGTCTGAACTCCGAAAGGTCAGGAACCCACGGGTCGGAGAACGCATCAATGGAATCCCCGGTACCAACTTCTTTACGTAAAACTTGTAAGAGTAAATCACGACAATAAAGTAAAGATTGCCAAACCCAAGAGGAATTCGTACCCATAGAGGCGGTAAGAAAATTTGAATGTGGGAAATACTGCCCTTTCAAAATTGTGGCCAATAGGGAAGTGGGATCAATGAATGGAATCAATTCCACCTCATAATCTATATGCTAATTAAATTACTATAATCATTCCACCTCATAAATCTTGGGTGAAATAGGGAAAATAGGAATGAAATCAATTCATAATTTTCAATCCTAATTATGTTATTTTAAAAAATGAGTTTTGGAATAAAAAATTTAGTAACCGTCCGACGCTGAGTTGTGGACACCATCCGACGCCTGGTTTCGGACGTAGTCCGACGTTAGAATTTAGACGCCGTCCGACGCTGGTTTTGGATGCCGTCCGAACTCCGACGTCAAGCCAAGGCTTCAGGCGCGAAGTCCGACGTCAGAATGCTTCTTTTGTCCAAAGTCGGACCAATCCCGTCGGCGACCCTAAATTGCAGGGGAAACGACGTTGTCATTGATCTGGATATGAAACCGGAGCTTCTACCTTCTCCCTCCACTTCCTGTTATTGTTTTCGGTATGTGCTAGGATTGGGTTAGGGAACGAAGAAGACGATGTGATGATGGTGAACGCCGAGCCGATGCCATGAACAGGGAACGAGAACGACGAAGACGATGATTCCACGACGGGCAAAGGATGAAGATGAAGATTCGATCACAGGCAAAGGACAAAGACGCGGAAATGCTAGTTATCTAAGGGAGGAAATCGTTGTGGTAGGGTGGTTCGCGGTCGGCGACAAACTTCTCCGGCGTGAGGGAGGTAAGTTTCAGTTGCTGTGGGGTGGTTGTGGAGATACGGTTTCTAAATGGCAAGGTAATTCTTTGGAAAATGATGGGCAACAAATAGTAAATATACATGTCGCAACCGCACCTAGAGATCGGGGTATCGCTCGCGATTTGCTCGGAGTCGCCATCGATCTTAGTTTGTGGTGGATCGAGCACCTTTTGATTCGGTCCGGACCTTAGGTCGAAGCCGAATTCTGGTCTGCAAAATTTAAGATTATAGGTTTGGGAGTACGTTTACGTGTGGGGAAGTGTATTCACACCCCACAACGTCCAAAATTGGTACTACTTAAATCGATAAGTTTTTGAAAGAGTTGGGCGTATTATTATTTGGCTTAAGTATTTAATTATAGTGTTCAATTAGGTAGGTATTTATTTATATTTACAATTCGATCATACGTCTATTGACGTAAATCTCGAACGTAAAGAAAGGGTTTTAGTTAGTTGGACTTGAAACCTATTGGTTGCCTACGTACCCGAGTAGTTGGGATCAAAGTCCATGTAGTTCAATAAAAATTGAGAGATTTGATATGTGTTGAGTCTCACACACATTGAAATGTGGAGAAAGTTTTTGATTAGTTGGACTTGAAACCTATTGGTTGCCTACGTACCCGAGTAGTCGGGATCAAAGTCCACGTAGTTCGTTAAAAATTGATAGTTTTATAAGGGGAAACCCCAACATGTTCTATTGATCATGTTCAAGGTTTGAATTTTGGATAATTTAGAAGGGCGAAGCAAAGTTGAATTATTTGGAAGATTTGAAAGGCTGATGACTTTCGAAGAAAACTTAACACGAGAATGCTATCATGATCTATTATGCGATTAGATCGTTTTAACCAAGGTTAACGGAATTGAAATGTAAATATTAATAGAAGGACAAGTTTGGTATTAGTGCAATAGTCAACTTTGATGTAAATCATAATAGAAAGCAAATTTGATAATAAAAAAACTATAGTAGAGGGGCAATTTATGCTATTCACCTAAATTTAACCTCTATCTTTCTATGAAAGTTTGTATTTTCAAGTCAAGTGCTTTCAAAATAGTGCAAGTAACTTCTAAACTTTTTAATTCTTATTTTTAAGGATTCTCTTAGTTATATATTAAATTATTGCATTTAACTTTCATAATTTGTGTTTATAAGTCAGCTGCCTTCAAAATAGATCAAGTAACTTCTACTACATTCTTATTTATAATAAATATTTTAGTTATATATTAATTAATTCAATTTTTTTTGTTGTGAACATTTATTTTCCATTTACATAAATACAAAGAAACATACTAGACATTAAGATGCATGATTAATTTTTCGTTCATAGTTTTTCTTTATCTCAAATAACACTTTGTGTCATTATAATAATAGAAAATGGATTACTATAAAAATAAAAATATTGATTTTTAATTCTTCTTTTTTTCTTCTTTTTTGTTATAATATACTAAAAAACTTCTCCCCCAATCGTCAAATCCTGTCCGCTCCTGATTCGTGGTCGTTGGGAGGTATAGGGCATGCATGGATGATAAATGGGGAGAGTAAGGATTAGTTATGTGATATTTCCACGCATAAGGAGCTCGATCGTATGGAATTGCTAAGTCAGATGTAATGGTAACCTTGACGTGATTAAGGTGGCTGCATTTGTAGTGAAATTTACGGGTCAATTTATGGACGTGGAGAAGAAGGATGCAGATTCTGATAGTCACGTTCTCGAAGATATGAATTACATCATTGGAATAGTCGGAGGAAGCTGGCGCTGGAGCTGGAGCCTTCGGTGATAGGATCTTCGTGCTATTGTCAGAGCGCAATTGGAAATTTTGCAAGCGGCATCATCGAGCACTCACTTTCCACAATAACGAGTGGGATTAGTATAGGAATTATTAAGGTGATGTTTTAAATATATTAGGATTAATATTTTAGAGTAGAGAATATTGCCGAGTAGGATTAGGACTCGTTTAGAGGTTTTAGTCCTATAAATATGTATGTATGACATTTGTTCTATTCGATTATCGTACGAATCATACAACGTGAGTTACGAAAGGGTTTCCGCCGAAGAATCCTCAGAACAAATTGACCCGGACCCGATGAGGAAAAGGGATGTTACACTTTGACCCATAATAAGATTTCCAGATTGTTAGTCACATAATATTCTTTTTTCTTTTAATTTGCGAGCTGCACCTCTTTTCAAGTTATTCCTTTCTCCTAACCATACCTTTGGAATTCTATTTTGAACATTCTAATATTGATCTTGCATAAGTGTGTTTGAATTTTCACTATATGCTGGTCCAAGTACGAACAAAATGTTATTACTCATATATCAAATGAGATTTGATATAATTTATAAATGTATTAACATACAATATAATGATTTCTTTCATATATTCGATATAATGTTTAAAACTATCGGACCATTAACCCTCAATACACTTAGGTTGCTCGATCAAGCCAACGGGTTAAACTGGGTTGACTACCTTGATTATTATCTAAATAAAATTAATCGGTAACTCCAAGTATGTACATCACAAAGGAGCATTTGTTTTTATTTCCAAAAAAGGTCAAGGTTTAGTGGTCTCAAATCTCAATGATAAGTTGATAATTTTAGCTTATATTAATTTGAGTTTTGTAGTTCAGTTGAAAATTGGAAACCCTAATTTAGATGACGGAATAATACGGCTATTTTAGATTGAATGATCAAAGCAGAAGGAAAACTGCAGCTCAAAGGGACTTGAGCTAAATTAGACTAAAATAAGTAAACAAGAAAAAGGAAAGAACAGCCAAAGGAATCCCATAAGAGAAGAAGCTCTTCTGAAAAGAGAAACAAGAACGAGGAAACAAAATATGAAATCCCTGCCTATTCTATCTCCCGAAAAAAAAAAAAAAATCACAGGTTACTGAGAATTAAGAACATAGCCAATGAATCCATAACGTCCTAAAGAGCATCCCTAATTCCTACTCTCGCTCATGATGACTCGAAATAGTTGTTCTTTGCTTTTTAATAACTATGGTATGAATAATATAGAAATTTGATGGTGTCTTGATCATTAATTCTGGTAATGATTCGTTTTCTTGTGAGAACTCAATGCCTAGGAGTTCGATGCTTGTTGCTCTTTCCAAAATAAAAGTGCTATCATTGTTTATGTTTCTTCAAGAGTATTCATGTCTTACTGCAGAAATCGATAATGCGAAAAAACCGAAAGAACAAAAGACAAGAGAGTTTTACGTGGTATCCTCGTTGTTAATTGAACAAGACTAATTCACGGTGAGCTCAAAAGAGCTCACGGATTATATTTTTATTAGAGGACTATATTTTGCAGGCTTGCTTACGACTAGAACCGTAGCTAAGCTTCTTTTTTATATAGAAGGAAGGCTAGGGTTTTGAGTTTTGACCCTTTTCCCAGCCGAGGTATAGGAAAGACTTAACAACGTAACGTCTTCATGTGGGGAGATCGGAGAAGTTTGTGGAGCGAAGATAATCCATCAGCTCGACTCAGGAAGTAGGTAACTCAGTGAAACAGCGGCCGGTGGGTGGCCCCGAAACCTCGTCGTCTCTTTCTGCTGCTTCCGCGTCCTGCTCGTGATCGTCGATGAATAGTAACGCTGGTGATCCGACGCCTGAGAATCTCCGGCCCGTCGATGATGCCCCGATCCGTTGCTGTCGTTCTCCGACGTGGGTGGTTGCACGTGGTCATCGCTGACTTGGTCGTTTGTAACGGATATGCACTGGTAGCGGCGACGATAGTTGTACTTCTTGATCGCCCTGTAAGCCATAGGAATCAGGCCGTCCATGGCGTCGTTGGCGGTTGTTTAGGGTTTCTTGCGGGCAGGAAAGGCTTAAGCACGCGAGAGGGAAGCAAGCTCAACGAAAGTGAGAAAGTGGAAGCAAATAAGACTAGGATTGCAGTTGTAACTTGTACGTAGTTGAATAGGTTTATATATAGTGTGGTATGATCATGAGTTCAATTCCTACAAGGAAACGGATTAAGTTTGCCGAAAAGACTGAGGAAAAGGACTCATTATCATCATAATAATCCTAATCATCGTAGGATAAGGAATAGTGAAATCTAAAATAATAAGTATCGATCGTAGTTACATTATGTAAGTTACTAACGTACCGTTTGGTATAAATGAATTCTATAAGTTTTGAAGAATTCATTTTGAAATGAACTATTTTTGTGTTTGGTATTTAAAAGAATTCATTTTCAATTCTAAATTTGGAATTCTACGGAATTGGAGTTATAGCAATTCCAAGGAATTGAGATGGAATTTCCAAATGACTTCCACAAGTATTTACTAAATTACTCTTTTATTAACTAAATTACTTATACATATGATATACCAAACACAGGAATTCATTTGACAATGAATTATACACGTCAATTCATTTTCTTTCTAAAGATTTGAATATGACATACCAAACACAAGATTTCATTTGACAATGAATTCTACACGGTAATTCATTTTACAATGAAATGAATTCTCGATTCATTTAGTACCAAACGGTCTGTAAAAGTAATTAGAATTATAATGATATAATAGCTAATTCTATAATTAAAAAAATAATAGTGAAACCTTAAAAAAAACAGTATAATAGACAAACCGTTAATTTTTTCTATCCACCAAATTGTCAGTTGACTCTGACTCAGACGTAGCTAATGATGTTGAGTGTTACCGTGTCAGCCAAACTGTTAGCTAGTACTAAAAAATTAATAACCAAATCCTTTTATTTTGTGTAAACTAATACTCACACCTTTTCAAATACAATATAATAGCCATTTTTTGTTACAGTCCGTCCAAGAGTTAACAAAATCATACATCAGTTCAGGTATTTCGACACCTCGAACACAAAAATTAATAAAAATATTAATTATTTAATTTCGAACATAAAAATAAGAAATTTTTTAAATAACTAACAAAGAAGTAGAGGTTCATCCTCGTGTGTCCTCTTCATGTTCCTTCATACACTTTTTAATTGTTTCAATTGCAAGCTCAATGAAAAAGCTCAAAAAATAGTCATCCTTTAAAGACCTTGGGAGATTTTTTTTACTACTTGTAATTGAAGGAATTAAGCAGTGGATTAAGGAAAGGAAGAGTATTCTTAGGCGAAGAATAAGATGAATTTTAGGCGAAAAAGAGAGGAACAGAAAGATTAATAGTCGGAGAACACAAGAGGACGATCCTTTATTCTTATTTTTGTTTACTGATTTTAAAAGTTTACTTTTATGCTCTAAATTATTAATAATATTTTAAATAATTGTGAAATGATGTGTCGGGACACAAGGACCTATTTATGATTCTTTTAACTCTCGCATTAAATTTAAAGAAAAATGGTCATTGATTAAAAAAAGGTTAATAGCATTTTGTACCCCTTTACTTTGACAAATTAACAATCGTACTCCTATACTAAAATTTTGCACAAACATACCCCTTTAATATTAAATCATAACAATTTTACCTTTCCATCTAATTATCCGTTAAATGACCGTTAAATGGGTTAGGAAATGACCCAATTGCCCCTCCTCTACACTTAATTTTAGTTTTAATTATTTTATTATTTATGTCCATGATCATTTAATTAGAAAAAAACAAAAACCCTAAACAAATTTAGAAGCACGAGAGTCAGAGACACAGAGACAATCCGTCTCCCTGAAGCCTTCCCTGGAATCTACTCCCGCAACCGCAACTACTCGCCGACGGCAAGCTCCTCGCCAACTGCCCACGTAGGTCACTCCCCTCTCCTGCCAATTAATGTTTGTTTGCTTGGGTTGGATTTATCCCCAAGTCAAAGCGGATTAAATTGGCCATGGCGAAGGGTTGTCTTTGGGTTTTATTTAGATTTATGCTAGAGGTCTCCTCGGCTTAGTGTCGAACTCGCCGGACGCTGCCATTTTCACCAACGTATCCCCCGCACCTCCACCAACCAGATCACCTCGACTCAGCTTCTCCCTCGTCGACGCCAGCTTCCCCATCATTCCGTCTCCATCCGTTGCTTGCCGTTGGCGAAGAGTTGCGGGAGTAGGCGCCGCCGGCGAGGAGACGCGGGAGCAGGTTCCAGAGAAGGCTTCAGGGAGACGGATGGTCTCTGACTCTCTCGGGTGCTTCAAAATTTGTATAGGGTTTTTATTTTTCTAATTAATTGATCATGGACATAAATAAATAATTAAATTGATATTAAGAGTAAACGAGGGGTAATTTGATAATTTCTTGACCTATTTAATGGTTACTTAACGGATAATTAGATGGAAAGGTAAACTTGTTACGATTTAATATTAGAGGGGTATGTTTGTGCAAAAATTTAGTAGAAGGATATATTTGTTAATTTACCATAGTAGAGGGGTACAAAATGCTATTAACCCTTAAAAAAATGGTTATCAAATTGTATTTCAAAAGGTCTTTCTATTATTTTTCACAAATAAAAGGGTTGAAAATTAAAAAATTTAGTCCTACATTTTGGCTAGCATGTCAAAACTCAGCATCCACGTACGTAAATATTAGTTGCCACTTTAGACTAGACTAATGTTTGACGGAATGACAAGCTAACAGTTTTACTATAATTTTTTTTTTAAATCTGGCTAATTTTTATTTAAAATCAAAGATTTGAATATTATATTATTTTAATTCAAATAATTACTTATATCTACAACACTTTTTACGTTTCATTTTTATTAATTTTATTATGTTATTAGGGCAATTGAATATGTATATTTCAATACCCTAATAAAAGATTTGTTGAAGTCCTCTAATCCTCCCATTTGGATTTGGGCCTCCATTTGGTTGGCGCAAATTTTGTTCTTCCGATACACCTACAAGCACAAATACAGTGGGTCTTGTCAAACTATTAGATCTTGGACGATCAAGTCAGGATTGAGTTTCTAGAGAGGAAAGTCATGTGTGAGTTTATAGACAGAATCAACTGTCTCAAACAAATATAGTTATATTTCTCCTATTTATAGTCGAGATCCTTCTGACACTGCCCCCTGGCATCGTGGCTTCTATCATGAGATTTAATGCTTTGTACACTTCTCAGATTATGCGCCTTTACAACAAAGTACAGTTGTTGACTAAAGCAGGCGTATGACTTCTAAGTTCTGCACAAGCGCCATAATATTGCCCATCCTTTTTCTGACAGGTTTTACCTTCCTTAAAGTGAATGGGTTGGGCAATATTAGTACATATCCTAGTGGGTCCAACAATTGCCTTCCAATTAGGTGCTTAGTTGATATTTTAATTGTCTAACTTCCTACTATGTATCTCTTTGTTGAGTTGATCCTTGTGTTTAACTCATTCGCCCCTGCTTCCACTCCTTAGTTGGGGCTTGATGTTTCAAACCGTGCCCCTGTATTCTGGTTCTTTTATACGCATGAGTTTAGCGCTCCCTATGTACATTTTTTTTGTTCCTTTTGGCAATATGGCGTCTTTATTTGGCGTGTCCCTTATGCCTGTAGTTCCCACTATGGCTGCAGCCGCATGGATCCAGTAAGGTTGGCATATAGGTTCATTTTTTTTGTATCCATATAAATTCTGACTTTTAACAGCCACCCAGTGATTGTTATGAGGCACTTATTTTGTAACAATGACATGATTATTCACGATGAGGTCTGTAGTTGTTTCCAATTGGAATAGGCATCTGCATGCACATTTTCTTCTCGCATCACATGTGAGAAAGTCTCCTTGAAACAAGAAGCCTTCATCCTCCTAAATACTTCTACGTAGGCCTCTATTCTTCTTTATTTCGTGTGCCCCTGAATCCTAATTTACCACCAGCGCACTTGCATATTTTGAGCACCCAATTTCCGAGATTAACTGAAGTCTTCCTATCATGACTTCATGCTATCAAATCAAAGAACAACAACATGCATTGTTCTTGTCAGTTTTAGCATCACAAGACCACATATGACCCCGCTCTGCTAGTGGCTTCATTCACATTAACCTATAAGCAAACTCAGCACTAATGTTGGTATCTGCCAGTCGTTTTGTGTTGAAATCCATTAAGATCTGTGATTTGATGGTTGATCTCCAAGGGTACTGGATGTCATATTCACTCAATTGGATGACCATTTTACAAGGATGAAGCTTTAATGAGGCACCTTTGTCTGCTAACCGTGGGATGAAGCGCCCAAGCACCACCATCTTGTCGAACAACACTTGGACCTCTTTAAATGTGTAGGGGTGTCGGATACCCATAATTTTTTCAACTTGTTTGGGATATTTCTCAATGCCTTTTCAATTAAGTCTAAGAACTTCTTAGCCTCCACTCGAAAATGTATTTCAACAGGTTTAGGCATAAGCAATTGAGCCCCATAGTTTTAAAGGTTTCTCGTAGCTTCTGAATGGCTTCGACCTTCTTTGATTTTTATGATAAAGTAATTACACTCTATTCGCTTCTCGACACAAACGTCAGCCATCTTCAAGCAAAGAGTTTTGAGAATTTGATGACACATTTATGCAAATTATAGACATGATATCTTATGTGTTTGAAGGTAATACCATCATACTTTGGCCATTATATATTGATATTGTGCTATATGTAGCTAAACGGTTATATCTAGGACTTAGCACGGGTTTCATCACTTTTTGGTCATTTGGCTCATAACTTGTTCGTTCGAGTCATATTTTATGCTACGTTGTGTTTTATCCCCTAATTTCAGGTCCCACCATGTTAGGAAGATGCGTACTAAGTTTCAAGTCGTTCGGAGGTCGTTTGAGGCAAAGACCACAAGAAGTCTAAAAAACACTCCCTTTAGTGCTAAAAACCCAACCATGTTTTCCTATGATGAGGACGTGTTTTTGCCCGGAAAAGAAAGCAAAGATGTTTGAAAACATACCCTCTGGTACACAAAAACAAGGTCGTGTTTTTAAGGTGTGTTTTGCACTTTAGTGGGTTTAAGAGCTGAAACTCGGGAT